AGCTGGTGTGGTTTCGAATCTCTAAGGAGAGATCAGTTGCCTCCTAGTTACACATACGGATTTCTGACCATCGTCAACCAGCAGGTCTCCAGCATTTAGCTGATTGTCAGAATCAGAATCGAATTCATCAGTGTTTATGACTTAATCTACTCAATACAGCACAATGCTACTTAATTTCCTACAAAGTGTGATTATATATGTAAACGAACCTGGAAGGAGGTAGATTTGAACGGGTATACCAGTGGAGTTAAATTATCCTTAGTATTCAAAAGTTATTCATCTTTAGCATTTGTTTGTCTGTTATCTAAGCTAATCTGACTTTATCCATCAATAATTAAGCGATCATGTGATACAGTATACACTTTGACATTTCAGATTTTTCCTACCTACCAATATTTCACTTGTCATCAACATTATCATTATTCTTATAGAAAAATATCATCTCTGAGAGTTAAAAGATACACTAATTAACTTTTACATTTTTTAAATTCATTTTTACAATGATATTTAGTTATTTATTTGTATTAGTTTGAAAAATTTCTCTCTGTGTATAAACAGTTTGAAATTTATACACCAGTTTTTGAAACATAATCTAAAAATTGTCTACAGACAATATGTTGAACTACTATTGAACATTGAACACTGACATTTCGATTAAAGACATGTGGTTGCTTAAGAATATATTCTTTCTACTTTGCTAAATGAAAAATATTTGTTGAGATTTTTGCAATTTACTTAGATCATAATGATAGATATGGGAAGAAATTGAAAAATTGAATATTGAACCGTTAATAATTCAAACATTAGTTCATAGCTTGGTTGTTACAAGTTTAGTTCATATTAAAATCTCATTGTTGTGTAATGGTGGCTTCTGTGATTTCTAACAACTTACCTTATCACATTCAAATATATCTTTTTTAAGTAGGCTTTTCAATACGACGTCAGGAATTGAGTTAATATGAGTACATGTTCTCATAGTCGATAGTATACTTCGGAAGGTACCGTTCAGGTTAATTGTTCATGTTCACTTACATTACAGTCGATAGTTGTACAATTTCATGAATTTGTTGCAATAAAAACAAGACTGATCAATAATTTCAAGCTACTGCTTTTAAGATTGGTTGAGATTTAGATTCAGATTTGTTATTTGTGGATAGGAGGCTGAGAGCCTATATTAATCCTTTTCCAGTAGATTTCTGGGCTTGTCAAATCCGCTTTTGAACGAGTCAATTACTGATACGGACACGACTTCTTCTGGTAGTTAGTTCCAGGCGCTGATTAGTCGATGCGAGAACCAGTACTCTGTAGATAGTATGTTCGTTCTTTGTTTTTGTAGTCTGCAACTATATCCTCTAAGGTGTTCCAACCTAGTGGGAAGGAAAAGAGAAGATAGATCAAGTCCGAAGTCATTTCTTAGAATTCCGAACAGTATTATTAGGTCTCTCCTCTGTCCTCGATAGGACAAAGTGAGGAGGTCCAGCTCTTTGAGTCTGTCTTCATAGGCGAGGCTAACTATCGCAGGGATTATATGAGTGGCTGCCTTCCGAACTCTCTCTAGAAGGTCTGCGTCACCTTTCAAACAAGGATTAGCCACCCGCGTACAGTTTTCTAATTTAGACCTAACTAAGGATGTGTATAAGATGGTGAACATGTCACCACTTATTTTCGTAAGCGTTCTACGTAATGTCCAGAGTCCTAAAACTCTGCGCTGCTACCAATGGACAGTGAGCCGTGGTTTTTAAGTCAAATCTCAGTGTGACTCTTAGGTCATTATGGGTCAGTACTGACGCTAAAGGAGTCCCATCAATATCGTAGGTGTTGCTGTGTGTGTGCTCCAAGTGCATACTCACACGTTCACCTACAATGATAGGCCTATTCCCACTAGTAACATCAGCTGGATTAGATAGATGTATGACGAATATGCTCTACATTATTGACAGCTTTATTGACAAAATGTTTTTTTCTTCCTCAACACTGCACATCTCTGATTATGACGCACTGGACAAGTAAACACTAAGTAGTTGGAGGTAATCGACAGAAAGCTCTACTTGACATAGGTTTTGTGCTTACTGACACTCGTTAGCAAGGCTTATCTGGAAACTCGAAGCGAACTGATTTCCACGATGAGACCTGGACCAGACACTGTGGCAATCAGAGATGTTTCCACCTAGCTATTCGGATGGCACTTGACCTCCTGTACAACTCAGATCCATCAAAGTACACTAAGATGATGAACCTCCTTCCTATCTAGTGGCCAGACTGCGAAATAATCTATAGAATTCAATCAGCACTAGGGAACAGACAACATGAAATCGACTGCCATTTAGTTAATTAACACTGCTCTACTGTGTGATACATATAATAAACCAACTAAACTGAGATTACGTCCTACCACAATTCTGAAGTTTCGCTATTATATTATTTGACAAAAACAAATTAGAAGAAGGAATTGGTGCAGGAAGATTTCTAAAAGTCTGGTGATAAAAAAAGTAGACTACATAAAAATGAAGATTATAAATAGTCAGTACTGAAAACAGGATGAAACAAAGGCCAATTAATAATTATATGTGATTTCACTGTCATTATGAAGTTGAATAACACAATATCTGACAGCCAAGTACCATTGTCGACATAGTTCTGGTTTCAGTGATTTGATTGCGGTTACTTGACTGACTGACAAAATCAGCGTAGAACTTCCTACACGAATATACCATCTCAGGTTGCCACAATTCCCAGTAGTACACAAAGAATTGGTGGATACAAAAAGACTGATATCAAAGTAGACAAGGTTGTGTGAGAGAATAAACAGTCAGAAGTTAAAGATTAGTGCGAATATTCAAGCTTTAGATGTCATGGAGTACGTACATCTGCACCATTGTGACCAAGACTTCTCACCGATGGATTTCTTTCGTCTCGGGGACTGCAACCAGATAGTCTACATTATCCCCACACGACTCAAACCAGCAGTGAAAGACTTCGTTGACTGGTTCCACGTCTTTTTCTGTCCACCCTGAACCCTCTTCCAACTTAATCCAACGTCCCTCAACAGCATTGCATGTCGAGGTAGGTGGTGGCTCGCGGTGGCATGTGCAGTAGATATCCAAACCACCTCAGCTGGTGAAGGTTTGTTTACAACCTCATCGACAGACTTGCATATCTTGCCTGTTACTCTTTATCTGACCTCGTCACTGCTTACATTGTGATTCCACCAAACACGAGCAGTGCTACCTACGATCAAAGCCCTGTAACCGCTTCATACCTTCTATTTTCGATGGTCATGTCTCACAGCCATACAACAGGACAGAACGAACTGTAGTGCAATATACTCGTCCTCCGATAGACAGTAAGATATCTTGATGGCGCCGCAGGTGACGTTAGTTGGCAATGCCAAACGGACAACCTTTATCCGTGCTGAGATTTCATCAGCAACCGGCTGGTGCAACTCGACACGAAATTAAGTGGTCGACACATTTCACTACTTCACTCCCTATCATTAAACTGTGAGTACTTGCAGCAGACCAGTCCTTGAGCGTCATCTTACATTAGATGGATGCAAGTAAAATGCATGCCAAGCATACTTAGACTTCTGCTGAACCCATGCGTTCTGAAGATCCTGAATTTTATCAGCGCCTTCACCTAGTAGGATAATATCGTCTGGATATTGGAAATCAACCGGATTCCCAGGAAGCAGGTCAAGCCCTGGCAATGGTTGCAGGGTGAGAGGTTGGGGAAGGAGTAAGAAGCTTTCTGTTAGTATCAGGAGGTGAGGGAAAAGGAGAAGATGCAAGTGAAGAGGATGTTTATGTTTGATTGGAAGTGGGTCGATGGTTGACACTTCCTGGCTGCCCATATTCTGGAAGGTTATTTCTTCTTAAAATACCTGAAAGCGAAAGTGAGTTGTGTGACGGCAGAGCCCTTGAGATACCTACTGTTTTAACATAAATCCTTTTGCGGATTTTGTTTTGAGGTTTGGATAGGCAGAATCAATATCGCCGTGATCGGAGGACCATGTGGCTAGGTGGGGTGTGTTGATTTTAAGGACGACCCCTTCTAACCCCCCTCTTCCACTGAGAAGGTAACATCGGAGTGGCACTGCTGATCATCTAAGGGAAACACCTTACTGCTGTTACACCCCACATAAATAGCAACAGTACGACTTCACCCTATGACCCATCCTCATAGTGTAGTAGTTTATACTTCAACAGGAACTGTTTTTTGTCTCACCACTACTCAACAGACTTTCATGGCAAGGTAGGACGTCGGTGGAACAAGTGTTCCACTGGATAGCTCTTTGGGTCATTATGATATGCAAGCCCGACCATCATGTCAAGGTAGCAGCTATCGGCCTGGTCGTCACAAAGAGCCTTCCTCTGGTTAAACTATGGTCATGTATCATGTAAGTCATTCATAAAGTGAGTTCTGTGTCTCTAAAAATACCAGTATCCATTTAATTTGATTGGAAAAAATCCACCAGTCCATTCCATTCGACAGACAAGTGTTTAGATTGGGTTGCTTTCTGAGCTGAAGTTTTAGTTAGCAAACGTTTCAGCATCATACTAGAAATCTTCCTTGGTGCCTCGAAGCTTAACTTTCTTGTGAAGCTCTGATGCACTATCTCAGAGGGTAACTCACTTTGAATATCCTTATTCAGAACTACAACTAGTCACTGCAGTTCCTAGACAGATGTTTCTTGGTAAATTGAGCCAAGAATATTATAGAACGTCATAACCTTCCACACAATAGGTGTAGCACATTGTCCACTTTACGAATGCGTATGTAATTGTTGAGAGCATTTCAATTCTGTGTCAAAAATATCCTTCAGCAGTAACTCAAAATAGGGTGACTACTATCTTTAAATACCAGTAGTATGTCTGCTTAATGTTCAACAGAAATTATTCTTATATTGTAGCCACTAAAAATGCCGTTAAATGTGTGTGTGTGTGTGTGCGTGAATACTAAACCGATCAAAACTTAAACTTCATCTTTTCTTTGTTATATAGCCATGTTTGCGACTACTACAGAGGACAACCAGTGTGTTGTGTGGGTTGGCGAAACGGAATTGGTGCTCCGTGTATAATCCGTAAGTTCACTTTCAAATTAACCTTCATTTACTCAGTTTTCAATCAAATTTTCAGCTTCTAAATATTTTAGTAAAATATACATATATACCCACCGAAAGCTCAGTGATGACGCCTCTGAAGTGAAGATAGGAGTAAGACAAGGTGGCCACCCACTATCATCACCGATGATCTTCCAGATGCTGGTCGACTGCATCATGCAGCAAACAATGGGAGCGAGAAAACAGGAATATGCTGGCCACAACGATGAAAGGAACCTAGAACATTTGCATTTCGTCGATGATGACTCATGTCTAATGACTTGTGTCACACAAACTCGAAGATCTACATGCTGAAACTAACAAGTTGACAGAAGAGGCGTGGTAGTGAGGACGGCACTTCCTTCAGGTGAAAGTAGAGAAGACGGAGGTGATGAAGATATCCAACCAACAACCGGCGACGACAACAACAAGCACCAACCAGCATCGAGGGGAGAGATGAATGTAAGCGAAGTTGTCTCTTTCACTCTTCAACTACCTACCTACCTACACACATACACACCTACATACCTACCTACACACCTAGCTACTACCTACTTACCACACCTACACATCTACCTATTTAACACCCCACACCTCCCTACACACCCACCTACCAAGGTAGCATCGTGTCAACTACAGGCGGCGGTGATGACACAGATGACGATGTCAAAGCCACAGTCGGAAAGACAGCAAGACTGAAGATCAGATGGTCAGAATAGTAAGAATGAGCAAGAAAAATCTTTGACTGGCAACAAACCGACGAAGAACCCATCACACTACAAATATGATGAAGAAAGTAGAGATGCATTGGATTGGACAGAGACTGAGAAGACGGTTTGGGGACATAAAACGACAGGCCGGCAAGGTCAGGTCAGGTCAAGCCGTCGGGTGGAAATTAAATGGGAAACGACGAGTTGGGCATCCGAGTCAAGGGTGACATGGAGGAGATCATGTGAGGAAGAAATGAAAGCTTGTGGGCAGTGGTGGCGCCAGGCTGAGAAGATTGCAGAGAAGAGAGTGAGAGGGAGACGTGCTACTGAGTCGGTATGTTCCACTAGGAACCATAAGGGGCGAATAATAACAATATATATCCACAATTATGCATACTACTTAATTAAACTACTTGTGTTCAGCATAACCATAAGAAAGTGAAGGATTTGAAACATATTTTTCCACAGTTAATTCAGTCTAGACAGCTAAATCTTTATTTCCTTTTTTTAAATAATGATGTGTAGATAGTTACCCAGAAAATGGTTTTTTTAGTATAAGAATCTTGTTTCTCGATGCAGTTTTTTTTGGTTGTTAGAGTATAAGTAGATAATTTAGCTTTTCATTTGAAAGTTACATGATCTTCGCTGACATTTTCATTGTTGAACAGCTTTTAAATTACTCACTTATCAAGTCAGCCAGATTCTTGTTGCGAATCACTAAGTCATTATTGCAGATTATAATCTTTGACTTGAAAATCTGTAATAAACTCGTTACAACCTACTTTCAGAGTAGTGATATGTAGCCACCTTGTTTTCTATTTTATTTCAGTCGACTTTTCGTCATAAGCTCTTCTGTTAAACACTTATGAAAAGTAGTCTTGTCAAGTATACTGTTGAAACATCTTTGTAGCTGAATAACAATAGAATTTGTTGAGATTATTGAATACGGTTAATTTGTTACGCTTAATCTAGTTACTGGATAAATGATACGATATACATGACAACTTGCTCAGGTAACATAAGCAACAAGATAATGTAGAAATAAGAGGGGATTTACTTCAGTCAGATAGAAGGAATTAAGGGGTGGGGCGTAACTCTTTTACTTCTATATCCAGTGTAAGCGTCCTTGGGATGAACAGAGAAATTAGCACATTAAAAGTGGAAAGTTAACCAATGTGGAAAAAGCGTTTGTAAAAGCGATAAAAGTGAGCGATGCGCTTGAGGCAGAAGAGGGTCAAAAAAGATAATCCAACCCTTCTGTAGACAAATAATTCTCACAAGTTAAAACGTTGTAATGTAAAAAGCCTACTGATTTGTTTGTCTGAACAAAATCTGCTTACTACTCGTGTTTTACAGAACATTTTTGATGGCTTACACCAGTATTTCAATGATAAAACCGTTAACCTTTTTATTATACATTGAGGTGTAGCACTTAACATCGGTCTGAAAAGACAATTCAGCCGTAGGAAATAAGTAAATCCTACAAATCATCTTTGAGACTTCCTTAATTCATGTTGACTCATGGGTGAGTACTTCTGAGTAGTCGGATACTAGGACGAAATGGAGGTCCAGTACTTTCAGTTTTTCACTGGTACCTAAGGTCATGGTAGACCATGTTGAATACCCCCTTGAAATTGATAAATTCTCGATAAGTTCTCCCTAGCGACATGCTTGGAGATGAGAATTCCCGAAGTTCAAATAAGAAGTCGTGACCGCTGGAGCAGATCAAGTAGGATGTTGGAGAGTTATTCAATGATAGCACTGAATGAAGATAGCACTATATCATCAGTTGACATAAGTAAGAAACTGTTGATCACTGGATCCTGACACCATGATTAAATGATAAAGCACTCACCGCGAAATTTGAGATTTTTGACTGCGATCCTTGGCGAGGCCATGTTTGTATATTTCTTACGGGTCCCTAACTGACAAGAAATGCATGTTCAGTGATTCAAGATTTTCAGTGCCTCTTCAAATCATGTGAGTTCATGGTGAGTACTGACTTGAAATCAATGAAAACCCACAAGCCTCTAAATTCATATGTATTATTATTTATCCCTTATGCTTCCTAGTGGAACATACAGCTTCAGTAGCATTTCTCTCTCTCACTCTCTTCTCTACAGTCTTCTCAACCTGGCGCCACCACTGCCCACAAGTTATCATTTCTTCCTCATACCATCTCCTCCATGTCACCCCTAACTCAGATGCCCAACTCGTCGTTTCCCATTTAATTTCCACCCGACGGCTTGACCTGACCTGACCTTGCCGGCCTGTCGTTTTATGTCCCCAAACCGTCTTCTCAGTCTCTGTCCAATCCAATGCATCTCTACTTTCTTCATCATATTTGTAGTGTGATGGGTTCTTCGTCGGTTTGTTGCCAGTCAAAGATTTTTCTTGCTCATTCTTACTATTCTGACCATCTGATCTTCAGTCTTGCTGTCTTTCCGACTGTGGCTTTGACATCGTCATCTGTGTGACCACCACCGCCTGTAGTTGACACGATGCTACCTTGGTAGGTGGGTGTGTAGGGAGGTGTGGGGTGTTAAATAGGTAGATGTGTAGGTGTGGTAAGTAGGTAGTAGCTAGGTGTGTAGGTAGGTATGTAGGTGTGTATGTGTGTAGGTAGGTAGGTAGTTGAAGAGTGAAAGAGACAACTTCGCTTACATTCATCTCTCCCCTCGATGCTGGTTGGTGCTTGTTGTTGTCGTCGCCGGTTGTTGGTTGGATATCTTCATCACCTCCGTCTTCTCTACTTTCACCTGAAGGAAGTGCCGTCCTCACTACCACGCCTCTTCTGTCAACTTGTTAGTTTCGGCATGTAGATCTTCGAGTTTGTGTGACACAAGACATTAGACATGAGTCATCATCGACGAAATGCAAATGTTCTAGGTTCCTTTCATCGTTGTGGCCAGCATATTCCTGTTTTCTCGCTCCCCATTGTTTGCTGCATGATGCAGTCGACCAGCATCTGGAAGATCATCGGTGATGATAGTGGGTGGCCACCTTGTCTTACTCCTATCTTCACTTCAGATGCGTCATCAATGTGCTTTCCATCGAGGAGCACTTAGTATGACGCATTATATATCGCAGCTTCTAGCTGCTGAATGAGATTGATAGAGGTTTATTGCAGTAGAACCGTAGTGTTGAACCAGCTTCCAAATTACTTCTTTGCGCTATAGAAGCTATAGAATGCTTGTTCAAAGTCGATGAAGTTGGGGTAAGAATATGACTTGTATTCAGTGCTCTGTTTTATGATAATGCATATCTTTGCAATTTGATCCTCATGTGACTTACTTTTCCTGAAGACAGGAGCCTGTTTTGGTCCTAATTTTGAATCTACCGCATGTTTCAGTCTCTCACGGCTGATGCGGTCTAATATTGTGCTTAGGGTGCACAGTATGGTGATTCCGCGCCATTTCTTGCAAAGACGATATATATATATATATGTATATATATATATATATATATATATATATATATATATATATATATATATATATATATATCCTCGAAGTTGATTTAATAGAGCACTTCGAGATGAATAAATGTAAGTGATCAACAGGTTTAAAAACCATTCTGATTACTTTAAGAAATTCTAGTGAGGAATTCTCAGCTGCTTGATATCATATGTATTTTCTGCTGGAATTCCAAAGCAGTGAGTTTCGTTTACTTCTAGACTACTAGAAAGCATAGATTTCGGAATGAAGCATGATTTATGGCTTACTTCACTTAGCATTACCATTTGTGAAAGAGTGTTTGTCAAGTGTTTGATGACACTCATCAGAGTTATTACTGACAGGTAGATGGAAACAGTGTATATACAGCATGATAAAATTCTGAAGTGCTTCACTTGATATAACCGAAGAAAATGCATAGAAATCATTTCAGATTTAGCTCATTGTAGACTGACATTAACTGGAGGAAAATTTAAAACCTGTGAGCGTCGAACAGCCTTTTCCTCCTGATATGAAACTCAGTAGCGGTGCACATCTGTGACGCCACCAAAGATCGAGCCAAGGATCTTCAGCTTTCACTGGAATTTCAATCTTGGGAGTGTGAATCACTGAATTCCAACCCAGAGGCTCGAGGACAACATGTTGGCTGCGAAACCTGAAAGTCCTGCCTGACACGTCTTCTCTCTATGAAAGCAAAACTAAACACACGGACATGCAATGTCCGCATAATGCTTGAAACAGACTGCCTGGCAAGGCGGCTCAGATTGCAAAGCAGATGAGACGATATGACATACAAGTGCTAGGAATCTGAAAAAGC